TATGTGGCTTTTGTGATATCAAAATTGTAATTTATTATATCCTAGTGTAACAAATTTAAATATCACGCTATCTCTGTATAGATAGATGGTTAATTAAAATACAGAGATATTTTGTATGTTTAAGTCCAAGTATCTAAATATTTCTACAGAACTATCTGTCAAAATGTCAGTCCAATTTGTTTACATGAATATTCTCTTGATTACTAGTCCTTTAGAATTTACCTTTCTCAGATGTGTGATTATTCCATTTCATAGTAACAAAGAATGTCTGAGACAGAGATGGATGATGGTTTGCAGTGGAAGCCAGAATGGGCCTTTTGTCTTGTTTGGTACTAGTCATTTGGATGTTGAAGTTCACTCCGAGACTCAGTCTTATTATTGTTCGCTCCAAACGCTGTTGCATTATCCACTTAGCTATTAAATCCAGATAGCCAGTGGTTTGATTCGAGTCTCAAGTGAATATCAACATTTGGATGCACATACATTCAGCTGACGAGTCCGAAATAGGACAAAACACTAATTCTGGGTCCCACTTCTAGCTACGGTCCTCTGTGCATATAATGCTTATGACATATTTGCAATATTCAGGCAATCCGCACAGAATACACGCATGCCAAATGAGACTAACTAATTTCATTCCTAGCTATCAATGAGAAGATTCCAACATCGAATACAAAATAACTAAAGAATATCCTAATTATGGTGATGATAAAGTCATTATTACCTTGATAAAGCTATTCGCATTAAATAGTGAAGTGTTAGTCAAAAAACATTTTCGTTTTTCACTCATTACACAATATAAATCTTTAATAATTAAGGGTATTGTTTATTGAATAGCCATTTTTGGTGACCATATAATTGATTATTATTGTGTGGAAGAAGAAAGTAAATATTTACATTTGTTCAGCTATAAGAAAATGGGTTTTTTGAAAAATGAACTCTTCAGTGAACATATTCATTTCAGCAAATAAACTAAATGATCGTCAATTTCACTGAATAAACATCCTATTGTTCTGATGATGATTTGTTATGATTAATAATGAGTGAAAAAATTCATTTGTCGTTAATGACCAATTATTGATGTGATTAATTAATTAATACATTCGCGCAGTTTTGGAGGTTTGTGTTTTTACACATTTGAAATCATCAATCAATGATTGTTAGACCACCGTTAGAAACTTGGAAGCACTGAACGGCCGTTTCGTCCTGGTATGGGACTCATCAGCAATGCGCACCCTCTACTCATGTACCTCACAGAATTCGAACCCAGGACCTTCGGTCTTGGGCGTGAACGCCTAACCTCTGGACCACTGGGCCGGCATCCAACGGTGTTAATGTCTAACTCTGATTGATCTAGGGATTTTGCGCGACCTCACCCATTTGTCTTTGATAGTTATTGCCTACACCCGACAGGGTTGAACTCCATTGGTCACGTCTTCTCAACTAGAACTCCGAGAATTTCCTCACGAAGCTAGTCACTAGTGAGTACATTGTACGATATTTTGGGGCAGAGTTTTGGAAGTTTGTGTTTTTACACATTTGAAATCATCAATCAATCATTGTTAGACCACCATTAGAAACCTGGAAGCACTGGATGGCTTACATATTTGATTAGCGAAATGTAATAATAATAATAATAATAATGATAGCGATAATCATACTAATAATATAGAGAACATTTTCAAAATATAAATTAATATTATTATTAATTTGAAAATTTTAACATCAGTTTTGTATACATGGTTAGGAGTTCGCGCACAATACTGAACATCCCGGGTTCGAATCCTGCGAGATGCAGGAGTCGTAGATGCGCACTGCCACTGATGAGTCCTCATATCAGGACGAAACGGCCGTCCAGTGCTTCCAAGTTTCTAATGGTGGTCTAACAACAATGATTGTTTGATGATTTCAAATGTGTAAAAACACTAATCTGCATAACTGTAATTGAAAATAAAATATTTTATTGTTTCATTTTGTGAATGTTGCATTGTTGAGGTCGTTCGAACGAAGGAACTGTCCAGTTATTAACTTAGATCAGTTTGTAATTTGAGTGAAACCCAACAACCCTATGTGCCAATATATATTATTATAATAGTTTTTAATTGGTTTTCTAACTTATCATTAATTCTATTTACTTAATAAATCTGATATTCTCTTTTTTTTTTTTAAACATAGCAAAGAATCTCTATCTTATGTATCATTTGAAAATCAACATACACTAGATGAACATGGTCATTTACACTTTATCAATGATGGTGATAATAATAATAATATTATTATTATTAATAAGGATAATAAAGATAATAATCTACTTACATCAAATGTGAAAACTTCACATTTACATGCATTATCAACATCACCCGGTGGTTTTACTGGTTGGACTGCACGACTTGGTTTAACTGCATCTATGTTGCGTACCAGTTTATTGGGTTGTAGTCTAGTCTTATTATTGACTTGTTTAGGAATGATTTGTTTACAGTCCAGGTTAGTTTTCTAATAATGGTATAAATGTTGTGAGATTTTTTTTCATAATATAATGCTTTTTCGCAATGTTCAATTTATATTTGCACATACTTTTCAACCAAGGTTTTAGTTTTCTCGTAGTTAATATTCAGGATTGAATTGTGATCAGTTTTTTTCAGTGGAATATATACACTATGTATGGGGAGTATCCTCAAGTATATATAACCAATTTTTATCACATGTCTTTAAAAATAGGTTGATTTCTTGTGAGCAATAGATTTAAACATAATGTGGTCCAAACAAACTGATATTTATTTCATGTATCAGATTTAAAAGAGGAGAGAAAAAAAAGTGGTCATACGGAATTCAGAAGATTAGGATTTGAGAGAGCACAACGAATGGATTCACTTGCGCCAGTGGAAACGATTTTGAGCTGTGTCATTCAAGTTCTCTAACCATCGGTGACTTTAGTCTCTCGGGCCCCAACCAGGAGGTAGCCTACATCTACCAACGTGAATTTGTCAAGTTGTCAGTGACTTCATGGATTTCTGCTTCTGGCCGCCCCTAACATTCTTCCAACCTACTCATACACCACAAAACATAGCTCGTCGACGTAGTAGTTGGTGGTTGAGCATTCGTAGCACATATCCCAACGACGTCAACTGATAAGGTTCCACTAGTTGATTTGACCAATTGATATCCCTAGTTTAACAATATCAACGTCATCTTGATGTCAACATTAATTGGATTGATCATGTCTTCTTCCTATTATCCCTACCATCATTGTCACGATTAATTTTGTTTATTATTTTGTAGATCATCAAATTCCACTAAACGTGAACCAATCATACGTGTTCTACCATTAACTATAGATCTTGTAAATAATAATGTTGTTACAACAACAACAGCAACAACGGATTTCATTAATTCCAATTCAAATCAACAAGAAGATGATTGTCTATCATCACCAGAATGGACTGTTGCATGTGGACAAGTCTATGAAAAAAATACCAATGGAGAGATTTGTTCACGTAGTCTATTAGCAGTTACATCAGTTCGTTCCTATATTCAAATGAAATCATATCATTCGAAAATTATTCATTTATGGTGTGTTGATTCTGGAAATCTTTTATTTGATTTAAAAAGGTATTATTGATTTTTCTGTATTCATGTGTAATGTTTGAAAAATTCACTTTTACTGTTAATCATTGATATTTTTGAACATTAGAATATAGTTTATATAATATTAGAAATAGTGAACCAATCGGTTGCGATGGCATAGATGCTTACACTTTCGATATTGATTTTTTTTTAAGAAAAAACACCTACATTTTACATTTTTATTCGGCGAATTTGAAAAAAAATAGAGTTTTTGACCTTACACACAGCGTAGTCGGTTAGGTATTTTCCTTTTCTTTTTTTGATTGAAATTCTGTTTTAATATATGTCTAGCCAACATTTCTCATTTATAATAAATAGATTGTCAATGTTCTAGTCAATAGTCTAATAGTAATCAGTCTTTTCTTTTTTTTGGTATAAAAGAGCCTTGTCAATGCTTAATTACTAATTATAGAAAGCTCTTTACATAAAATATTATTATTATTATTATTTTTTTGTAAAACAATAAATCATTTTTCAAGATTTACAAAATGTATTCCAAATTATATTTTTGTGAATGAGAATTAAAAAAACCTCTACTCTTTTGTAATTAGAGTTTTTTTTTAAAAAAATTTTTGAAATCATCAATCAATCATTGTTAGACTACCACCATTAGAAACCTGGAAGAAGCACTGGACGGCCGTTTCGTCCTGTTATAGAGTTCTAGTGAGAAGACGTGACTAATGGCGTTCAACACTGTCGGGTATAGACAGTAACTACCAAAGACAAATAGGTGAGGTCGCACAAAATCCATTGATTAATCAGAGTTAGACATTAATTGACACCGTTGGATGCCGGACCAGTGGTCCAGAGGTTAGGCGTTCGCGTGCAAGACCGAGTGTCCCGAGTTCGAATCCTGCGAGGTGCAAGAGTCGTGGATGCGCACTACTGATGAATCCTCATACCAGGACGGAACGCCATCCAGTGCTACCAGGTTTCTAATGGTGGTAGTTTAACAATGATTGATTGATGATTTCTACTCTTACTATTTAGTAAATATTAGGGAATAACTTTGTTTTTCTCAAATAAAATCATCAGTCTTCACTTTAATTAATTAATTAATATACAGTAATATTTATATGCATATATAAGAATATTAAACTAATTAAGACAATTTATGAGTTAATGATAACCAAACCAGTGGATTACATAATTAAACGTCATAAACAAAACGTACAAATTAATCACATGTCGACAGGGTCACTGATTGTGGTAAGAATAGTAAAGGCTTGATTCAACATTTTATGATGGGAAATGGGCAAAAAAAATTTGAGAAAAATGACTTAAGATTTACTAAATATTATTAACATTACATTCAAATAAATAATTAGACAATAGAGAAAAGGGCAAATAAATTTCCTCTTCACTAGTCAAGTCATTCCACAACTATATCTCTGTCAGATTCTAACTTCAGGAGGAAAGATTTCCGCGCTAACCATTAGTAGTGTCACTAGCTTCCTATTCACTTCATGTATGTCGTTTTTGAACAAATCTTTACGGTAACTTATTTCACTCAAGATGTATGTACATAAAGTCTAGCTCCTTCTTTGTAATGTCGTCTCAGCATTTCTTCCCAGCTCTATTTACAAGTTATCTAACTATGTTTCTCTCATAAAGGATAGACACCAAGTTAAAGATGCTTGTTAGTCGGTATGCAAATACTTTTTTACATACATATTTTAACGTATAACACCATCTCTACTGTTTAATAAGATATTGGGGGGATGCAATTTGTCGTCAAGTTTATGCTTACACTTTCTCATCAATGCTGATGGCCTAGTGTGTGAGGAAATATCAGCATGGATACGAAAAGCTCGATTGGATTTTGCCAACTTGAGTCACTTATGGCGAAGGCGAGATATCCGTTTGCTGAATAAAGGACGAGTGTACTGCGCAGTAGTTCGCTCCGTCTTACTTTATGGCTGTGAAACATGGCAAGTGAGAGTAGAAGATATTCGTAGGTTACTGGTTTTCGATCATAGGTGTCTTCGAAGCATTGCTCGTATATCGTGGGACACCCGAGTGAGCAACACTGTTATTAGGAAACGGGTGATAAGTAAGAATGGCAGGTCAATAGATGAAGTGGTGAAACTTCATCAATTGAGGTGGCTGGGACATGTGCTGCGTATGCTTAACCACCGACTACCTCATCGAGCTCTTTTGTAGTGTAGGAGTACGTTGGAAGAAACCTTGAGGCGGCATAACCAAAACATGGCACAACTCCATGAATTCACTGACATGTGGACTAAGTCATATAGTTTTTTTTTATTGGATTTAGAATTCTCTTCTACACATAAATTCAGAGAATGGACAAACAATTATAGATTTTATATTCACTGTCCCCACACTCAGTCGTGCCAGAGAATTTGAAGGCATATATATCTTATAAGTTGCTTCCTATTTTTAGTTTACTATTTTTGTTATGTCTCTAAAGATCATAGATTTCTCTGAATGTATACTAATAAATGCTCTCTTGACTGAAAAGTAAAACATTGGTATTATATTATATCCTGAATTTCTGACTCATATGAGAAAGATTTGACTTTTAGAAAAATTATTTCTTATAAAAAAAACTACTTATCACATATGATAACAGTAAAATACCACACATCTCAACTAACCTTAAACTTAACTTAAAACAGTATATTTTAACTGTGAACAAATCAATGACCTTATTTTGGCGTAATTTACCGGTATAAGTGTAATGAACCTCTTAAATTAACAAATTGATAAGTTCAAATATTCAGGAATGATATCTAAAAATGTAAACATAGGTTTTTATATTTTCAACTAGAATTATGTAGATTAGTGTTTTTACACATTTAAAATCATCAATCAATTATTGTTAGACCACCATTAGAAACATGGAAGCATTGGACGGCCGTTTCGTCCTGGTATGGGACTCATCAGTGGCAGTGCGCATCCACGACTCCTGCACCTCGCAGGATTCGAACCCGGGGTGTTCGTTATTGTGCACGAACGCCTAACCATTGGACCACTGGGCCGGCATCCAACGGTGTTAATATCTAACTCTGATTGATCTAGGGATTTTGCGCAACCTCACCAATTTGTGTTTGGTAGTTACTACTTACACCCGACAGTGTTGAACTCCACTGGTTACGTCCTCTCACTAGAACTCCGAGGTTATATAATTTCTTTTGCAGCTAAATTAAACTTTCGTAACTTATTGATTTATTTCTTGTTATCACCAAACAGTTAGACATTTTTACCCAAAAAAAAAATGTATTTTCGATAATTAATACAAAATAGTTTATGTAGCAAAAATTAACTTTATTTCCTCTGTTTGTTTTTTTTTCGCACTATTCAGATATTCAGAAGAAGCAAATATGAAGAGAAAAAGCTTACCGTCATCTGTTGTATGTCGTAAATTTTGTAAGTACTTTGAATTAGGTGTGTTTTGTTTTTCGTTAATGTAGTTTAGAGATAAATTCAAAATTTTGTACTTAGTAAATGAGTTAATAAAAATAAAATTATAAATTGTATCTATAACATACATTAGAAAACAAAAAGACTTAATCATGTGTCGTATTAACTAGTCTTAACACAAGCTTAATTTCCTGCTCAACCTAACTGTATAAATATGCATTGTCTGTAACGTTTTATAGTCTGGATCCTTAGTCCGGGATCCTTATCCTCTTCTGGACTCAGACCGTGTACTTTCTGTGTGCTTGTAGAATACACATTTGACTTCATATCGAGACTTCTTTTATTCAATGTGGGTTTGGGACACTCGGATTAGAGTAGCCTGTTTTGTCGCCGGATCATTGATCCTCGCTCTCGTTTACCGACAAAAGGTGAACTCGTAATAGCATTCAAGCATATCAATTGATGAGCATAACAATTACAAATAATGTTTGAAATTTTACTGACACATAGAATATGAAGATAGACACAATCATTTAATAAGTTCTAATCTCATTGCTCTTTCATTCTCTCCAATGTATGATTAGTTTTTGTTGTGTGTGTGTGTGTGGAATATAAGTGCATAGACAGCCATTATTTAAGGGATTTTGCACACCATTGATTTGATTATAGATAAGTTCAAAGCCTTTCTCGCATATGTTGATCGAGAACACTCAAATTTAAATATCAGGTTATGATGAAAAATCGATTGATATGTGATAATCTTGATAGAGTTGAAAATTCCAAACCACCGCCTACTTAGACAACTAATGACTTCTTGCGTAGTAATTGGTTATATGAATACGTATGACAGTAAAACTAAAATTTAATATCTGTTAGTTAGTTATTCAGCTACAACTTAGAACTTGGTACATACATAGATCAGTTCAAGTTGTCATACCACATTAGCACAGAAATGTAATTGTCAATTCAAATTCCGTAGTGGTAGAAGTAGTTGAAGCATTAGCAGTAGTCGGAGACAATAGGATTTGAAGATATTATTCAAGAAGTAAAATCTAGTGAAATAAACTTAAAAGGAGGAAGGTGAATATGATGACGAATTCAGAAGATTAAAAATTGAGAGAGCATAAAGAATGTATGCACCTAAGCTACTGGAAATGGTTTGGCAGCCATATCATTCAAGGTCTCATTTGTCTCCAAGTTTTAACCATTATATTATAGAGAAGAACCTTTATTTTGCTATTTCACTTGAGATTTAAAAAATAGTAGAAATGTGTACTACATCATATATGTGGTTATTGACTTGAATTTTCTAAATATTAACATATTTATTAGCTACTATCTGGTGTATGGATTTTTTACCACAAGGACTTTTGGTTGTTGGATGCAGTGATGGAACTATTGAAGTAAGCATTAATCAATGTATGTACATTTGATTGTTGACAAAAATTACTCAATTTCTAATGCAAGTTATGTTTTTATTTAGAATATAAATTGTCTCTTTGTTGTTGTTGTTGTTGTTATCGTTGCTCGAATTCAATGATACCATTGATCAATATTGCATACTGAATAATTTAATGTCAAATTTATGATCTCTAATCTAGTTTCTTCGTCTTTATTTTCTTGTTAATTGAAAAAAATTTTTATCATTTATCATTTTTAATTCTAACCTTCTGAATTCCTCATAATCTCTATTTTTCTCCTTCTAAATTTATCTCACTGAACTATACTTTTCGAATCATATCTTTGCTTACTAATCTTCTCCATTACTGCTAATAATTCTACTATCGCTATCACTCTTCGATGTGAACTGACAGTTACGTCTCTGTGCTGATGTGGTATGATAACCTGAACTGATGTACTTACGTACGAAGTTCTGTGTTGTATCTGTCTGTCTGTCTGATTTATTGAGAAATACTTCCAAGTTCAATGAGAGTATAAGTTATTTGAAAAAGATAATATGATAAATCATTGAATAAAAGCAGTGATTATTTTTGTTTTATATATGGGTACATTAATAATCAAACAAAATAATACTCTACTGAACAATTGATTATGCATAAGTTTTTATGAGATGGTGAAGAAAATTTATAGCTCAGGTGAATGGATGATGATTGTGGTGGTGGTGTTTGGTTCTCTCAGCTGGATGTTCTGGTTGTGAAGCTTTCATTGTTCTTGTGAACAGCATCACCATTTGCACAAACTTCAGATGGAAGTGAAGTATTCGAATTTCTCCACTTTTGACTTGTAGCTTGTTCTGCTAGCCTCGATTCTGATTGGTTGCTGTTGACTTTAAATCTGTCGTTGTTTGCACCCTTGTTTTGATTGTATCCCCCTTTTGATCTATTTCTTAATCCCTATGTCACCTATTATTTTCTTGATAGGTTTATAAATTGGGCTAATGTTGATGTGCTTGTTGATTTACCTGAGTGGCAGGCTTCTAAAAATTCTCTAGTGTACTTTATCATCCCCCTATCTAATACTTCCACATTGTTCCAATCGAATGTGTATCCATAATTGTCAGTGTGTATTGATATGAGTGAAGAATTGTCGTGGTTTTTGACTGTTAATTAGTGTTCATGTAAACAAAGTTGAAGAGGTCGTTCACTTTGTCTTATGTAGTGGTTTTTCACAATCTGAGCAATTTATTTTATAGATGATATTTGGTTTTTCTTCCTTTGTCACTTTGTCCTCTGGTCTACATAGGATTGATTGAAGTGATTCTATTGGTTTGTGTGCTACATCTATTCCAAATGGTCTAAATAGTCGTGCTGTATGCTCCGATATGTCTTTTATGTATGGTAGGATGATCCGTTTATTGATTCCTCGTTTTTTAGTGCTTCATATGTGCTGTAGTTTTTATTTCGGTTGTAGTGTGAACATTATCAGTATTAGTTTAAATATGATGAAAAGTGAATTATTTTTCACGTATCGCCCATATCCATATAAAAAGTCAATAAGAATAGTAGCAAAACCAATTAGTTCTGTTGAATGCATCACGAAATCTAGACTACGCGGATCATAGTAACAATACATAAATGTTTCACATGAATAGTTTGTTATATTAACTGATCCACTGTAATATGACATCTATACTTGACGGTTGTTAATTTGAATTGTCATTCATAGGATTACTGCTGAACTGAAAATGAGCGTTTTAAATAATCAGATTGCGTTGTTGATCCCTTCATGTATGATAATTAAACTTCTGAATGTATAATAAATAAACTATGTACTTTGTTACTTGGATAAATTTATTAAACTACGTGATTATTCGAAATACTCGAATGTAAAAATTCAATACGTTTACACAACATTTACGATTAAAAAATGTTTCAGTGATGAAGATATATATATATTACGTTGATATAAAGAGAGAACAAACCAGATTCCATTGGAGGAGGGAATCAAGAAGAAGCGCTGGCAGTCGATAGGACACATATTGTGGAAAGCATTCGACTGCGTTGCAAGACAAGTCCTCACTTGGAACCCTCAAGGTCAAAGGGGAAGAGGAAGGCCAAGGAACACATCATGTCTGTCTCCATGACAGACATGAGAAAAATGAACAAAGACTGAACAGAAGTTGAAAGAGAGGCTTAGAACAGATTAGGTTAGAGAATACTAGTCGACGACCTATACTCCATTAGGGGCAACAGGCGTAAGTAAGTAAATTAGGCAGCAAGATATTTATGTGCCACACAAATCGTTGAATTTGTGTGTTTGCTAAGATCCTGCCTAGGTGCTCAAATCGAAACAGATGTTTTTCTTAAGGAGCCACTCTTCTAACCATTGATTCAAATAACTAATCTACAAAGCAACGGAGCTACATTAGGAAATACAGTTTCATAGTGGCCCATCACCAACAATATGTTCATGTGCTATTTGCACCTTTGGGATCCTGCAGCCCATGTGCACCATCGGTTTAAGATCTGAGTTTCCCAACTCCCTACATGAATCCTCCGTACCCAACAACAACCAGCTTAAAGCTCTGGAAATTCGCTTTTCATCCTCTCAATTTTGTAAACAGCACCGCTACAAAAAGTCAATCAGTAGGACTTCATTGGCAGTAGCTATACACGCATGGTCATATGAGAGCATTTTGAGATAGATTACAGATTATTCTCGCTCTCGGCCGTACCAGTGGATTTGAAGGCATATATATCTTATTAGTTGCTTTCCTCTTTTAGTTTACTATTTTTGTTATATCTATAAACATCATAGTTTTTGCTATAGAGGCATAGTTGTTCTATTACAATTTTGGCTTCTTGAATACATTGAGTTCATCTTGAGTTTCTGACTTTTCATTTACATGGGGAATTATAATTGAAGTGTGTCTAGTTCACTTATTTAATTTGGAGTCAGAATAAAGATTGAATGCAAAATCCATAATTGGATAGAAGAGAATTCTGAATCCAACAGAAAAACTATATGTAATGCAGTAAAGTATCAGGAATAAAACAGGCTTATCAACACCCTAACTATTGATGTCTATTTTTAATAAAATTGAATTTTATGCTTTCCTTTTAAGGGCATAATCGAAAATGCCAAAGAGCATTCAGTTAATATTATTGAGTAGTAGTGACTGTATATATGTGCTTGTATCCTTTCTCTTTTGTAGATTTGGAATTGTGAATCTGGACAATTGTTAGATATTCTATGCTTAAAGACTATCAAAAATGACTGTTCATTGCCAAAAAATGCAACACAAAATTCATCTACAATTTCATATTCAAAAAAATCTCCTGGTGGCATAACATTAATGAAAATAATTGATGAATCAAGGTAAGAAAAAAAAAAAAAAATAGTCATCAAATTGTAAAAATTGTAAAGTGTGTTTGTGTGTGTGTATGATTTGCTTTCTTAGTTGAAATATAGTCAAAGTGTATTTCATCGTGTATAATTTTTATGAAAATTTCTATTCTATGCGCTATTTAATATAACTCGGCATACTATTTATTTTCGGTATTTTATCTATTATGTCCTCTCACTGAATGTAATAATGAGTAAGAATAAAATACCACTTGTGAAAGAAATTGATTCAAGCCCTTCCCAACGTGTATTTTGTTATGCCTGCACGTAAACACGTCAACTTGATATACTTGAACTATTACGAGTTTACCTAGTCGGAAAACGAGAGCAAGGATCGAGGATCCGGTGACACGACATGCTACTCAAATCCGATTATTACAACCCCCATATTTAGTTAAAATAAGAAGATATGATATGAAGTAGAACGTGTATTCTACAAGCATCCAGAAAGTACGAGGTTCGAATCAAGAAGAGAATCAGGATCCCGGACTAGGGATCCGGGACCGAGCCCTGGTTGTGGTCATAAAATGTTACAGATAATGCGTATTTATACATCTGGGTAGAATAGGAAACAGCATCGAATTCTGTGACATTGACAGTTAAGACGACCAATAGGAAGCAACATTTGAAATGACATTGACAGTCCGGATGACCAATAAGAGACAACATTGAAGTATTTGACTTTGACAGTTAAAACGACCATAATTTTGACCAATGGAAATCGACCAATAGGATTTGACCAATAATTCGCTTAGGATATTGGATGAATATCCTAACAATTTACACTACGATATGAGGAAGTAATAATAGCACATATTTTGTATATAACAATCTGCAACCTGTAGTAGTAAGAATGTAAATAGATTTTATTTATTTTATAGTTGTTTGCTTTGTATCCAATATGAGTGTGTGAGTATTCTTTGTCTTCACTGATGTTGTTTTAAAACTGATATTCACTATGAAGCTAGTGAGAATTATACATATCATAAGCCATAGTTTCTCGTATCAACTAATAGTTTCAAACTCCTAGTTAAGTCCCTGAAATCGAAACACATATGGAGGTTTCTGGTTCTGTATTTTTTTTGGTAGTCTTTGTCTCATATTGTCATTTAATTCCAATAAAACACTTATAAAAACTTGTCACCGTCTGTCACAAACTTGGTTTATTTCATTGAGACCTTACAATAATAAAAGTTATCATGAAAGGGTCAATGACCCTGATCTTTACATCGTTTACTAAATTTTACACTACTTAAAAGCATTCTCAAAACTACTAAAAAAAGAAAGCTTTTTTTTAAGCGAAGTAAGGTTGATAAATGTTACTGATAAATTGGTTTATAATAATATCCTTGGTGTACATTTTCTAACACCGTAAATTACACATGTCAAAATTTAAAAACATATGCTGAAGTAGATATTCTATTGCTCTTTCCATGCAAACATAAAAAGATAATGAAGTTGAAATTAAATTATAATTTATTGAAAAAAATTAATGAAAAAGAAAATACTATGAGAGGAAAAACGGTTTGAAACGATTTACAGCTGTGAATATCAAATCCTATCACTAATCGCTGTTTAAAAAATTTTGAATATTCACAAACTAAATCGTACCATCAATATGAGTTTTTTTGGCAAGTTTACATATTTTGTTCTGTCAGTCAGTCAGCTAGTCAGTCAACGACAAAATAGAACTTCGTACGTACCTACGTACGTACATCAATTCAAGTTGCCATACCACATTAGCACTGAGAGATGCAGTTGTCAATTTGTTAGGATATTCATCCAATATCCTAAGAGAATTATTGGTCAAAATTATGGTCGTTTTAACTGTCAAAGTCAAAAATACTTCAATGTTGTTTCTTATTGGTCGTCCTAACTGTCAATGTCACAGAATTCGATGCTGTTTCCTATTCTACCCAGATGTATAAATACGCATTATCTGTAACATTTTATGACCACAACCAGGGCTCGGTCCCGGATCCCTAGTCCGGGATCCTGAATCTCTTCTTGATTCGAACCTCGTACTTTCTGGATGCTTGTAGAATACACGTTCTACTTCATATCATATCTTCTTATTTTAACTAAATATGGGGGTTGTAATAATCGGATTTGAGTAGCATGTCGTGTCACCGGATCCTCGATCTCGTTTTCCGACTAGGTAAACTCGTAATAGTTCAAGTATATCAAGTTGACGTGTTTACGTGTAGGCGTAACACAATTCAAATCCCAGTAGTAGTAGAGGTAGTAATAGTAAAAGTATTAGCAGTTATTGGAAATGTTATAGTTCAACGATATTATTCAAGAAGTAGAATCTAGTGAAATAAACACACAATAAGCACACAAGACTAAATCGATCAGCATCAAATCCTTTTCTACCGCTCCTGTTTTATTATCTGTAAATTAAAACTATATGGTACTGAGTAAAACATGAATATTGTGGTGGTGTTTCGTTCTCTGAGTTGGTTGTTTTGGTTGTGAAGCTTTCATTGTTCTTCTGAACAACATCATCATCACGAACTTCAGATAGAAGTGAAGCATTCGAATTTCTCCTCATTTGACCTGTAGCTTGTTCTGCTAACCTCGATCTTGATTAATTGTTGTTGACCTTAAACCTGTCGTTGTTTGCTCATTTGTTTTGATTGTGTCCTCTTTTTTTGGTCTGTTTCTTGATCCTATGTCCCCTATGAATATTGTTGTCATTATTATTATTATTATTATTAATTTTAGGTTTTGTATTGGAACTAGTCATGGTGTTGTAGCATATTTCAATGTAATTTATACTAAAAGCAATTTATTACAAAAATTTTCATTAATTCGTCAATGGCACTCACATTCACGTGCAATCAGTCAATTAGATTATTTGAAATATTTCAATAAAAATCCAATAGATAATCCGAATGATTTACTGACAAATATTAATGCCAATCATATTGATGTAATTATAATCAGTGGATCAGAAGATGGTTGTATTAATGTAAGTTAAAGAAGTTTTAGTCAAATCATTTCAGTGTAAACTGTACTACACTCTGTTCAGTATTAAGATTAATGGCTCATTCCTTTAAGAGTCAATTTTCAAGCAGTTATCACCTGGATAATACTTGTGTCAGAAGTGAACGTTAACTTTAAGATGCAGCTATATCCAGCTGACAAAAGTCCACGAAGGGCTAACCGTGGATTTCACTACCGTCTATTTCATATAAACTTGTGACATAATGGCTAGATAGAGACAATACACTCAGGGTGTTACATTGTGCCAACTATGACTAATCAAAATATCACCAATAGAATAATTCAAATCATTACTTAAGATTGTAGTAGTTCCACAACGAATTTCTTCAACTTCACCAACAATGGATGTTAGTGGGACATAGATTGAATTAAAGCATGATTGCGTTGCTGCACGCTGATCGGCTAATTCCTATCCAATCATCACTAGCCATTACTGAGGGAACATTCTAGAATCTTCTCATGTAAGAAAACTATCAATATACTAACATCTTTTTCCTTTGGGCCTTCTGTCTTCTATTTATCCTTGTTCAACTGTGTCCTTATTTTTGGGGGAACGTCTCGAGTGAATTGGTGTCCGAGACTACACTAAGCATTAGGAATAGCTGGGTTGTATAATAAGAGAGAATTATAACAATAGGATTCTCTAGGAATATTTTTATCTATGAGAAGTTGCGAAATAATGCAAATAACTCGTTTCTATAGAAACCATGTATCCTAAACAAACTATGAACAAAAATATAAGAGAAATATCAAAATTGACAGTCAGCTGATAATCACCAAAAACCATCTTAAAAATGCCAGTTGTTGTTAAGTCCTATAAATTTTGATTAAAGTACCACCATCAGTGTAGTTGACGAAACATCCAAGTATCTGTTTTCATAAAAGTAGTACAAGTGTTTAGTTAAATCGATGTATATGTTTTTAGAATATTTGTTTAAACCATAATTATCTCATGTCATATTTGACTAGTGCTAACTTGTACCACATAAATAGTAAGAATGTCATAATTAGTTGTAAACTAAACAATAACATTTTTAGCATCGCCTAGATTGTCACATTCACATAATTATAGAAAGGTGTGAATACTATCTGATTATTGTAGTGAACTATAGAATATTTTTTTGCAATTAGAATTATGTAGATCAGTATGTTGACACATTAAAATCAGCAATCAATCATTGTTAGACTACCATTAAAAACCTGGAAGAAGCACTGAAAGACAGCCGTTTCGTCGTGCAAGTAGCAGGAGTCGTGGATGTGCACTGCTGATGAGTAGTCAGTCCTTTACCAGGACGAGATGGCCGTCCAATGCTTCCAGGTTTTTAATGATGGTCTAACAATTATGATTGGTTGATGACATCGATGGAAGTATTTTAAAAAAATGTAACACCACTGTAATTTACCATTTAATTTTTCATTCATGAATTTATCTATTGTGTATTTTTATTTAATCTTTTTTTAGTTCTTCTCTTCTGAATTCGATTCCCCATTGTTTCATTGTGCTATTGATACTACACCTGTCCTTTGTATGAATTTAAATCGTGTAAGTTTACACATAGTTGTTTAATTATGATTATTATTTTTGTTGGGGATGTTAGATCCCTCTAGAACTCACTTGACAAATGCCCTAATTTTGGATTTCACGTTTGAGAGTATGAGCTGATCAGTTGACTTTGAGATTTCATCGCCCACCAGTAAAATCCATGGCTGTGATTGGCTGCTGTGTATTTCAGTGTGCTTTTTTGGTAACTGTCACAAGGATGTTTCTATGATGTATAAATAAACGAGAGTTGTGTGCTTGATTGTATTGTGATTGCTAGGTGTTGTAGAATATACTTTCTACGCTTATCAAGACTTCTGGTTTACAGTTTTGGATTCAAGGTAGCCTACCTGGACCTCTGGTGCATTGTCTCGTTCGCGTTTATCGACTAAGGTGAACTCGTAATAGCTTCAAGTGTACCTAGTGACGAACATAACAATTTTAATTGTAATAATTATAAAATTAATCAATTTAATAGTGTAATTGGTCAATAGGCGTGTATATTATTCCTAGTTGATACATTTTAAAACCAATACATCCCAATACTTTTATAGTTTTCCATAATCCTTGTTCCCTTTTTACATTCAATAATTGATTTGTTAGAATTCATTCTTTTTATCTGTTCAAAAATCCATACATGTTTATAGTTGTTGGAAGTGTTTAACAGTGAATTATCTTCCTGATATGTTATATCCACTGTTCTATTTTACATAATTAATAATTTCGGGCAGAGTTTTGGAGGTTTGCGTTTTTACACATTTGAAATCATCAATCAATCATTGTTAGACCACCGTTAGAAACTTCGAAGCACTGAACGGCCGTTTCGTCCTGGTATGGGACTCATCAGCAGGTTTCTAACGGTGGTCTAACAATGATTGATTGATGATTTCAAATGTGTAAAAACGCAAACCTCCAAAACTCTGCCCCAAAATATCGTACAATGTACTCACTAGTGACTAGCTTCGTGAAGAAATTCTCGGAGTTCTAGTTGAGAAGACGTGACCAATGAGTTAAACAGTGTCGGGTGTAAGCAGTAACTACCAAAGACAAATGGGTGAGGTCGCGCAAAATCCCTACATCAATCAGAGTTAGACATTAACACCGTCGGAAGCCGGCCCAGTGGTCCGATGGCAAGGCGTTCGCCTACAATGCCGAAGGTCCTGGGTTCGAGTCTTGCGAGGCGCAGGAGTCGCGGATGCGCACTGCCACTGGTGAGTGCCATACCAGGACGAAACGGTCGTCCAGTGCTTCCAGGTTTTATTCTAATGGTGGTCTAACAATGATTGATTGATGATTTCAAATAATTAATATTCACTGATAGAGCTGGTTAATGAGATTTATCGTCTCTATTTGGAGAACATTGTTATTGTGTAAGCTTTGGCTAATTTTTTTCATTAGCCTTATATTTGTAAAACAGTTGTTTAACTGTGGTAATCTTGTTCATCCTACTCTATTACACTTAGTTTGCTCTGGGTGTCAGTCATGCATCTGGATCATTATATGTTTGCTGTTTAGAATTACTACACAAAACAACTACCGGCCAAACTGTCAATGTCAAAGTTGAAAATCAAATAGAATCAATTGAGATACGTTTAACTGATCTCAGTTTATTGAACAATAGTTTTGGAATTTCTTCTACAATCCAACAGTTCGCTGCATCATCATCATCATCATTAACATCAGGGACAACAGGCCAAAATAAAAAATTATCCTCACGCAACCGTCTTGGATCTATAAATCTACAATTGTTTATGAAAAGTGATAGATATTCGGAAAGAACACAGAAAAATTACAATTCATTACCATCAGCCTTGGCCAATTATCGTCTAGTGACATACGATATGGATGGTAGTGTAGTGATATGGGATTTACAACACAAATGTATAATACGATCTTTTAAAGCTGTAAGTTTTAAAGTTTTTTTTAATTAGTAGTTTATGCAAGTCATTAATCGTTTGAATATATATCATATCTCATATCTTGCAAATACGCGTTGACATTGTTAATTTTAACACTTATAGTCAAGCTGTACGCAAAATTTTCATAAAAATTACTGTAAACGCTCGTGATTCTGTTTTTAATAATTTACTGCTCAATCGAATGAGTTACCGCCTTATAAGGGCATTCCTTACGCAAGGATCATTTGTAGGTTACTAGTATTCGATCACAGGTGTCTCAGAAGCATTGGTCGTTTATCTTGGGATCATTGAGTGAGCAATACTGAAGTTAGGAAATGGGTATTAGGTAAGGATAGCAGATCGATTGAAGCAGTGAATCCTCATCAGCTGAGGTAGTTGGGATATGTGTTACGTATGTCCAACCACCAACTACCTCGACGAGTGATGTTATCTGATTGATGTGTAGGGGTAGGCTGGAAGAAAGGTAGGAGCGACCAAACCAAAACATAGTACAAATCCACGAAGTCACTGACAACTGGGTTAAGCCATGTTAGTAGATGTAGACTAGACAGTCGTAACAGGTGGCTAGAGACTTTGAATGATATGGCTCAAAATCGTTTGCATTGGTGGAGATGCATCCAGTCGTTGTCTTCTCTCAAATTCTAATCTCACCTCTTCATGATCTTTTTTCTCTTATCAGTTTGTTTCACTAGGCTATACTTCTCGAGTCATAATCTTCGATCTCTAATATTTCCGATTACCGCTAATACTGCTATTATCTCTTCTACTTTGAGATCTGAACTAGCAATTGCATCTGTCCGTGCTTATGTGGTATTACAACTAGAACTGATACACGTACGTACCAACTTCTAGATCTTAACTGACTAACTGATCATTATTGCACGCACTAGTGAAATAACTTATTGTAATTCCAGTAAATTACCTTGATACTAAAAATATTCTGTATATAGATAAAATTATTTCTGTTCAAACTTAGCTGTGTTGTTTGAGAGTCACTCCAACATCAAACACACAAATATGTGCTTTGTCACTCAGTTGTTATAAATGGGAAAGATCAGTATAATTTATATTTACTTCTAGCTTTATCCGTTCTAACAAAAAAAATCACTTTAGATCTAAAAGCTCAGTGAATATTATACTACTTGAATCTTCTTTTACTGAAACTAACTGAGAAAACAACTCATTTGTTTCCTAAACATTCTACCTGTTTGATTGATTCACACTAAAATTTGAAAACTGTTTTACATTTAACACACATTCAGCCCATTATATAAATATCTCTAATCTTGTGACATAAACAAACTTTTTTTTCGTTATCTTGGTCAAATCACTGCTTTTGTTCTGCCTAAAATAAACTTTATCAATAGTTGTTCGCCAACCACTGATGATATCCGCTTAAAATAGGTTTACATGATTAGATTATTGTTTTCTTGAGAGCTAATCATATTGACTAGTTGAAAAATATTTGGAACTCCAAAAACCTTTCAACCAAAATCAGGATTTTCAATAAAAATGTCAAGATAGTTCTACTGTATGGAGTGGAAACTTGAAGAACTACAAAAGCCATCATCCAGAAGATACAAGTGTTTATTAACAGTTGTCTACGCAAAATACTTCGGATTCGTTGGCCAGACACCATCAGCAACAACCTACTGTGGGAGAGAACAAACCAGATTCCAGTGGAGGAGGAAATCAGGAAGAAGCGGTGGAAGTGGATAAGACACACATTGCGGAAAGCACCAAACTGCGTCACAAGACAATCCCTCACATGGAACCCTCAAGGCGAAAGGAAAAGAGGAAGGCCAAAGAACACACTACGCCGAGAAATAGAGAAAGATATGAGAAGAATGAACGAAAATTGGACAGAACTGGAAAGGGAAGCGCAGGACAGAGTTGGTTGGAGAAAACTGTTGGGCGGCCTATGCTCCATTGGGGGTAACAGGTGTAAGTAAGTAAGTAATCATATTGACTAATAATAAAGCATACTGTCGTTCGATAAATATTACTACTGTTTTCGTAGTTTAGATACTTTCTATTTTCTATTATATTGTTTATACTTATTTTTTTATTTGTAGAATTTATCAACATTTAATATGTCCAATTTATTATTATCCGTCGATGGACGCGTGATTTTCGGTGATCAGGTTAGTAATGATTGTATCTTGAAATTTTGTAAACATTTACGTAATCGAATGGATTTTTTTTTAGAGAAAATGAGTTAAGTAGTATTTTCTGTATTCATTTTTCTTTTTTGTCTTTCTATACTGACCACTTGCACTTCATAGTTTACGATAATCTGATCAATACTCAAATTATTCATCTCCGAATTCGATCAGCATTTTACATTTGATGTTTCTTTTAGGATATTCATTAGATATCCTAACATAATTGTTTTTAAGTCTAATACTACTGGTCAATATTATGGTCGTCCTAGCTATCAATGTCACATACTTCAATGTTGTTTCCTATTCGACCTAAATGTATAAATACGCATTATCTGTAACGTTTTATAGACCCGGATCCCTAGTCCGGGATCCTGATTCTCTTCTGGACTCGGACCTCGTACTTTATTGATGCTTGTAGAATACATGTTCCACTGCATATCAGGTCTTCTTCTCTTACTCAATGGGGGTTTGGGACACTCGGATTAGAGTAGCCTGTCGTGTCGCTGGATCCTCGATTATCGCTCTCGTTTTCCGACTAAGGTAAACTCGTAATAGTTCAAGCATATCAAATGACGTGTTGACTTGTGTTCCGTAACAGTTTCTTTTCTTAATAAGTGCCAACGATGAAAGGTGAAAGAATAGAATACGCAAGTATTTTACTGCGAAAACACAGTTGATCATTACATACTGCCAATGTTTTCACACAATTTAAACTGTTGTGTCGTGCAGCCAATTAACTAAGCCCTACCATTTCTCACTTAAAAGTATTTTTCTGCATAGTCAATAGATAGGATACTTTGTTCAAAAATATGAATCCTGAAAATCATGTACTGCAATACATTCCACACAAACTGGTTACGCTTATATTACTTCTTACGATCAACTGTATATAAAAAATAAAATGTCATGTAGACAAATTCAATGTCAGTCAGTCAGTTGCAACGTAGAACTTCGTACGTATGTACATAAGTTCATGTTGCCATACTACATTAGCACAGAGACGAAAATGTGAAATCAAATACCATAGTGATAAAGATAGTAGAGATATTAATGGTAATGAAGAAGACTAGGGTTTGAAGATATTATTCAAGAAGTATAATTCAGTGAGATAAGCTTAGAAAGACAAAGGTAGAGGTGCTGACGATTCCAGAAGATTAGGATTTGAGAGAGCACAACAAATGGATGCACTTGCGCCATTGCAAACGATTTTGAGCCATATCGTTCAAGGTCTCTAACCATTGGTGACTTTCGTCTCGCGGACCCCAACCAGGTAGTCTACATCTACCAACATGACTCAGTCCACTTGTCAGTGACTTCATGGATTTCTGCCATGTTTTTGTTTGGCCGCCCCTAGCTTTCTTCCAACCTACTCCTCTACACCAAAAAACATAGCTCGTCGAGGCAGTCGGTGGTCAAGCATACGTAACACATGTCCCAACCACCTCAACTGATGAAGTTAGACCACTTCATCTATTGATCTGCCATCCTTACCTAGCACGCGTTTCCTAACGACAGCATTGCTTACTCGGTTGTCCCACGATAATCAAGCAATACTTCTTAAACATCAATCAAATGTATGTGTGCTACTATATCACATAGTTCTGATAATCTTCGTTTTCTTATTACACTATTCAATTTTATCAAAGGGAATAATTGCTTGGAATAAATAGATTTGTCTTGGAAGTTGTTATCGATCAAAAACACAATAGTTTATAAATTTATCCATCAAGTAACAGGTTATGAACAATTTTCTTTATGTACATCAGCTTACGTAACTAGAATCGCTTTTCTAACCACTAAATAAATATACTTGTTTTCTAATTCAGAGTTATCTACGCGTTGTAAATCCATGGACTGCTAAATATGAACGTTCCGTTCAACTATTACCACCTTCATCTGTAAATATACGAAATTCACATAATACATCCAATTCAGCACATCTTTCCACTTTATTACGTCAATGGATTAGAGAATTAGTTCCACTTGGTATTACTAATGGTGATTATGAATCATGCAAATCATCAGAATTATACTTAATCACTCCTACTAATTGTCATGCTGAACAACAACAACAACAACAACAAGATAAATTATCTCCAATTATTATTAATATGAAATTACCATTGAGAACAACTACTACTACTACTAGTGCAGCATCCTATGTGATCAGTATTGCTAATGGTGGACAAACATTAGTTGTAGTCCCAGTGTCTACAATTAAATTTGATTAAAATTCTAATCTTTGTTTTATATATCAGTCTTTTTTTTCAATTTTTTATATATTACTCTTCAAAGATGTAAATTCTTTATTTATTATAATATGAATTTCAAACAATTATTATTATGATATTGTTATAAAAAAATATATTAAAGTGTTGCTTCATCGGTTTACGCGTTCAAATATTGATCTCGTTAGTTATTATATATATGTATGTGTCTTGCATTGATTTTAATAGAGTGTGTGTAAACTCCAGTGTTTGTGGGTACTAAAAGTGATTATAATCATTGAATTAAATATTAAGAGGCGTTTCATAAGTAGTGTTAGTTAAATCGCTGCTTTAATTTTTGATATGCTTCAAGCTATTACGAGTTCATCGTACTCGGTGAACGAAATGAAGATCAATGATCAAGCGACACGATAGATTATTCGAATCCGATCGTCTCAGGCCACACTAACTAGAGGAAGAAGTCTTGATAAGATGTAAAGAAATGTATTCCACAAGCACACAACTCAAGCTTATTTCTACAATGATAAAACGGCCTTGGTGAGAGCCACAAAATAATGTACTAAAATAATCCATCAATCAATGAACAGTCAAGGATTTTCCAAGTGTGAAATTCAAGCTAAAGGTCAGCTGAGCGTCTTTGGTGCGAAGACATTGAAATTCAAAATTTTTGCATAAAATTACAAAATTAGGACCTTTTACAAGTGGATTTCGGGGAACTAACGTCCCCAACACTTTTTCGCAGTGAGTGTGGTGATTTCAGTTCTCTTTGAAAGCACTGATGTTTATCACAAAAAGATTTATAGAAGATATCTGTATCTTATAGTGCAAACTCCGATTTCCCAATCAGTATTATGAAATCCAGTCCTATAAATTTATTAAACCTATCAATAGTTTTCTAAAACACTTTATTATGACGTGATATATAATTATGTCATCGAATCAGTAACTTTAAATAATTCATTAACCTTAATTAAGACATTGAATACTTAGAAATCTCTCACTAAACAGATGAAGATCATTGGCAATGTAAAGTGAAACTAATTGATTGACTTACACATAATGACTGATCCTTTTCATTTATACTTCAGTTTAATAACATCAACTTAATACAAACTAATAATCAAAATATTCCCTATGACTGACTACTATTCTTTTATTACGTCCTAAGTCTTAGTTTCTTAAACTATTTTCAAAAAAAGTATAGTCCATGAAACCTAATCATATTTTACTACAAAGTCTCATCAACAGATAAGGAAATAACTTGTTGATTTAATCGTAATCTTGTGAGTGTGTTGCTTTTCATTCGTGCAGAATTGTTTATAATAGCATCACTTATGAAGTATTTACATCCAATACTGCTTACTTATAAAACTCAGAAAAATATCGTTATAGATACTTTGACTATGTAATTATTACATAATAACATGTTAGTGTTTTCACTGTCATATATCCCGGGTGAAAGGTTTGACTTACTTACACAATATCATCACCTTATAATGAACCTAAACTTCCAATAACTTTGAATATCATTCACTACTATCTCTGATGTACACAAGTAATTTTCATGACCTCCATCTATCCTAACCCTAGAACAGTAGTGAAATATCAGTTACTAGCATTCAGCTATGAGATAAATTGGTTTTTTAAAGATTCCCATTGTGAAAATTAGAACAACACATATAAGCGAACAATATTGCTTTCGATTAGATCGTCATCAGGCTTTACTCTAATATACATGAATATTTATATGAAAATGTTAAACCAATCAAGGCAATTTGAGTGATCATCACAATGAAATGAAAAAGATTACGTAACTACATCTAATAGGCAAAAGTTCAAGTGGATAATAGGAAAACAGGTGTACTGATAGTAGTAAGAAAATTTGTAAAATATGATGGTGGATTCATCCACCCTTGACCTACTTTAGTTATCATATTTTACAAATTTTCTTACTACTATCAGTACACCTGTTTTCCTATTATCCACTTGAACTTTTGCCTATTAGATGTAGTTACGTAATCTTTTTCATTTCATTGTGATGATCACTCAAATTGCCTTGATTGGTTTAACATTTTCATATAAATATTCATGTATATTAGAGTAAAGCCTGATGACGATCTAATCGAAAACAATGTTGTTCGCTTATATGTGTTGTTCAAATTGGTTTTTTACATTTTTTTTTAAAAAAATCGTCAAGATCTGAAAATGCGTTGTTTTGTTTTGATATAAGTAAACAGAAAGAAATCAATTAAGCATTGGATTTTTCTTTATCTTTTAAACCTTTGTACAATTGACATAACCCCTTGGAATCTGCAGTAAGTACACCAACAAAATCTAATTTTTGCATTTGTACAACACGTCGACGTTTTGATAATTTTAAACAGTCAATGAAATTTGCTCGATTAGCTACAAAAAAAATGCAATAAAATAAAAAGGATTTTTCGGTAAGATTTACAGGAACAGTAGAGAATTTGATGCATTTCAATTAGTGTGATCGATTGATTTAAAGATATTTCATTTGAGTTTTCAAACCATTTATTACTTACCATTTAGCTTTAAAAAAAAACCTAATCAGGAATTTTTCAATTCCCGACACAGTTTAGTTTAACAGTTGATGATTTCATGAACTGATTGATCCCTTGTTATTTTCCGACCGCCACTAACCTATATTCCCCTCGGTCGTATAGTCCACAACAAACTGCTTCAAGAACGGCGAGCGAACAGACATTTCGCACACTCCGTAGGTAGATGTCATTCCTTGTAAAAAGGCAAGCAAGTTTTCTAAGTGTATGTAAGCTTTTTGTCAACCAGCAATGCTAACGACACTTCCAAACATTCAAACAATGAAAATGTCCAAACCAATAGGAGACAAATACGCTGTAATTGTTTCGAATAATACTCTTGTTTTAGGAAGAAAAGAATGAATACTTATTGGCAGAGAATAACAACAGTTTACAGAATGAAATAGAAATGGTATCATCATAAATATTGACCAAATTATTATTTTTCTGACTATAGTATGTATGCATCTTTTGCTGCTGTTTCAAGTTTTTAAAATTAATAATTAGAAGAAAAAAAAGGCTTTATTTTCAAACAAAATTTTAAAAAATGACATTCTTACCAGGTTCAATGATAACCATCATTTTAGACGATTTTACTGGATTCAATGTAGATCTGGATAGGGGAATCAGAAAAAAAATGATTGTACTTTATTTAAGAGGAAATAATAATAATAATCTCCAAAAGCTACCAGTTTATTTGTTTGTGTATATAAACATTTAAATTACAACAGAAATAACTAATCAATGTTATTATTAGGATTATTACATTGAAAACAAAATAAGATTCTAATCAACAATTTTGAACTAAGGTTTGACGGCCAAACTAATCAAAATAAAATGCGAAACACGAATTGCCCTTATATATATTTCGAAATGAAAACAAAAAAAATAGTTGGTATTTTACAGACAGACGTGTAACGATGGCTAGAGTAAGTTAGAAGAAAACTGAAGGCAATCAAACTGATTAATCCATGAAGTTGTTTACTGTAGATGTGAACCATGTTGATAGATTAAAACTACTTGGTTGAGGTCCGTATGATAATTGTTAAGAGATGTTGAGTAACATGATACAGTCACTCTTTATCTTTCTTCAGATTGTCAATGGTAATACAATTATCTCAATTATTTCACTATTCATCGTGTTAGTTTTATTTCATCGTACCAATATGGTATAGTGACTTATGTTGGCACAAATCTTTGCTACGCTCTAATATTGATTATGATTGACCGATTTTACTGAACTTTATTAAGTTAACAAGAACAATGTAGGAGATCATATTAAATTTATCATATTTTGTAACACTAATCATATACAGGTTTACATACTACTAGTGATGATGATAATAATAATGGCTCTATTCAGTAGTGCATGTTTAGTACAATATTTCAACAAGTTTTCTTTACAAAACAATTAGTGATTGGAAGTAAGCAGTTCAAGTATCAGCATCTTATGAATGTTCATTCTTTTCTGAGCAGATCGCCAGACACCGCGATATCTCGGATTGTACGTTTACCAAACTTGTGAAGCGATAGCTCGTAAACATTTTTTTTTATACACACCTAAATAGATGATGCGATTAACAGACATAACAAACAAAAAGAGGTAACTTTTCGAAAATATTTTGATGTTAAAAAACAGGTAGCAAAAGTCGTTCAATTTCACAACGACAACTATATGAAAGTAATTTACAGAAACTACGTCAAAACGTATCAAATTTTTTCTGCATGTTCACTAATATTTGAAATCATGATTCGATCAAAGTTAGACCACTAAAGGACCTGAAAGCACTGGACGGCCGTTTCATCCTGGTATGGGACACATCAGCAATGCGCATCCATGACTCCTGCACCTTGCGGGATTCGAACCCAAGACCTTCGGTCTTGCGCGCGAACGCCTAACCACTGAGCCGGTATCTAACGGTGTTAATGTTTAACTTCGATCAATTCATGGAGGTCCTGGGTTCGACTCCTGTGAGGTGCAGGAGTCGTGGATGCGCACTGCCATCGATGAGTAGTCCCATATCAGGACGAAACGGCCGTCTAGTGCTTTCAGGTTACTAATGGTGGTCTAACTTTAATCGATTCATGATTTCAAATGTGTAACTTAACAATCTTCACTCCAACCAATAGAAATAAAATAAAATATCACATACTTTTCATTGTTGATTTGATTACCAATACAACATTTGAAATCATGAAAATCTGTATGTACACGAAGACGTTCACATAGAATTGTCAAATTTTTCATAATTTTTATCAATGCTAAAGGAATTTTCAAATCAATAATATCCATTTGATCATAAGCTATGGTACGTGCTAAACGAATCATTTCTGTCAAATTTAATGCATTGAAATCATTTTCATTTGTTGAATGTGTTGTTAATAATTCATTGGATGTTTCATTTTTCGATAGACTTATTGTTTGTATCCAATAATTACGAATTTGTTCATGTTCCGTTGAAATATCACTGTATAAAGAAAGAATATAATCGAGCTCTGTAGCCATTGCAATTGCTTCCGCTTGAAGTACAGGTGCAACTGGTAAATTTCCTGATGATGATGATAGTCCGCTAGAATTATAGTTTGTTTTTGTCAACAAAGGGGAAAGGAAACGAAAGAAATATTTAGTAGTAGTGTAGTGAAGGAGAACACAGGTGAGGGCAACCGAATTGTATTGATCTCAAATTACAGAGTTAATTGATAAAATAG